TGTATGAGAAACCTAGGACAAAACCGTGAACATTTTAATTTTAGCTTGCAGGGAGCATGCTTAGGCTATCTGCTATAGAACTGTGAGAGAGAAAGTGGAGGAATATTCTAGCTGATTGACTTATACTCTTGAATCAACATATTTTTCTGCTCAATCTAAACTTGTGTAGTAAGACTTTCACACAGTAAATAATCACAAGTTTAGTTGTATGCTGAAGTGTTTACTTTGAGAAAATGAATTTGGTGCATTCTGTTCTACAATATTCCAGAAATCAAAATGGTAGGAATAAGGAAAGATGCTACATTTGAAATAAATAATTTGTAAAAGACTTGCTAAGATATGCTAATATTGCTTTCCACAGTTTATTTACCGTTATTTTGATTGTAATGTATAGCTGTCGTAATATTGTAAGACGAAACCTGGGTTTTGTTCTGAAGTTTAATGATGTATCCAAGTCTAATTTTAATGATTAATATTCCATCTTGAAGAAGCCCCAGTAAAGTCCAAAATCATGGAAAAAGGCTTAAGGGATTATATTACATACCTTGGTATGGCATGAACAATTTGTATGATATCAGGCAAGTTAACATGGTGTTATAGGTGTATTGCTACTTTTTGAACTTTTTTTGACAGTAGCTCTTTTTTTTGGGTACTGAAGTCCATTTCCCTCGTGCATACTTTCTTAGTTGGGCTGTGAAAATTAAGTTCTTTTAAAGGAGAATCAATGCTGCTTGCACTGTCAAGGCTTTTAAGTACCGTACCTTAAAATTGCTTAAATTGCTACTTCTTGATTAGTTCTTAACTTTTTTTCTTAGATGCTGCTTGAGTTTATTGTGAATTAAACTCAATTAGAATTTTATCTTTGTAGATGTCAGGATTTGGTGAGCATTTCACAGATAATTAACCTGTAAGCCAGAAGGAGTTGGTTAATGAATGACTTTATTATAAAAAACAGTGTAAATCTATTTTTTAATTTAAAAAACCTGTTTTCTTCAAGTGAAATTTCAATTTGGCATTAAGGGAAAGCATTTAAGCGTTTTAAGTCATCTGTATTTTGAACATGTAGACCTATAATGAACAGAATTGTCTTCAGGCCCTTTGGTCCAGGCTTATATCCATTATCAAGTAACTGTAATCCTGACTGTTTCTTGAGGTCTTGCTCTTTGCTTGAGGATGTATATGTGAGAGCAGACTCTTCACCATGTCTTGTTTGCACTTTGTTGACAAAAAGACAGGCGTGGTGTTACAGATTTTGCCTGGAAGGAGCTGGATCGAAAGTAAAGGTGGAGCTAATTCTGGGAAAAAATTAATGTATTGAGACACTGCATGACTATTTTGTTTCTCTCTGTGTTAAAACCCTTTTAAGGATTTGGTTAGACTAAGAATTCCTGGTGAAATGTTGTGCTTAGGGTGTGTAGGATGTGTAGGTTCTGAAAAAGTAAATTGGCCCATTTTGTAGGAAGAGGCTGGAAGAAGCCTAGAATAGTTTCTGCTTTAGGCTCTTTAAAGGCATTTGATCAGAGTGAACTATGCAGTGCATATTTTTTTTTAGCAATATTTGGCAATATAATGTGTTGTGTTTTAGTTGTACCAAGAAAGCCATAAAGACAATTACAGTTGTTAATATGATATGTAAAGTAGGTATATATATAAATACATAACTAAAAATATAATCGTAATTGGAAAAGTGAATACCGGTTCCTCATTAGTGTCCTGATTTTGAGGATATGCCTTCAGAACTGTTCTGTGAATATTTTTCCATCAGTTTCCTGGGAGAGAGCTTCTTCTTCAAAGTGCCTGCCTGAGGTCTTTTGGAGAGAGCATCATGGAATCAGTACTGTGCAAGACAAAGGTGCATTGTGCCATGTTGCCTTCATGCAAACAGCTGTAGAGTCAGGGTCTTAAATTTTTGTGTCTTTCAAAGTGGGGGAGGGAGAAGATTCTGCATAGTTTTGTTTTCTCCAGTTTTGAAGCATCTTGGCATTTTCAGTGTGACTCAGTTTGTAGGACGATGTTTTTTTCCAGCCAGAGTGCTGTGTTTGTGTTGTTTCCATGTCTGTACTGGAATTTACTTACCGTCATTCCTTCATTCTGCAGTGTTTCAGTATTTTGCTTGTGCTGTTTTCAGCCTTGAGGGTTCAAGGAAGAAGGAATTAAGTTTGTAGAGAAAGCATAGTATACTTCCACTCTGTTCAGGACTCAGCTGTGCAAGTGCCTGGGCAACCTCACCTAATAAGACCTGCTTTGAGCAAGTGATTGGACTGGGTGATGCCCGTAAGTCCCTTCCAACCTATATTATTTTACAGCTCTATAGAAGCTGAGACAGGTAGAGAAAAAGTAGAGCCGTGGGTGTCTACACATGAGCCAGCAATTTGTTGAGCTCTGCCTTGTAGGATATATCTTTAGCACAATGCACTTCAGAGGTAGGATGACTTTGACAGATTCTGTCTTCGCTGTCCTGTGCCTAGGAACTTGTGCCTTTCTTGCTCTAAGTATAAGCTTTCCTTTTTAAAGTTGATTTGGAAAAAAGAAGTAAGAACATTTTATAAGTGTAAAGATCTCAATGTTAACATTTCTATTGAAATTGAGATTGGAGTTATTTTAATTTCGGATTAGGTTAGGAGACTTCTTTTATCTGTCATGCCTGAATTTGCAGATCCTTAACTGAATGGTTGTGAACAGTTTATATGCCATTATTCAGTTCTTCACAGATAGCTGAAAACATGCATGTTACAGATATGAGAAGAAATTGGTGAGTATGACTTTAATAAAATGTGGAATAAATGCTTAGAGATGCATACACAGAGGGGTCTTCAAAATGTGTGCTTTTTACAAACATAACTAACTGAATTTATTACTACAAATATCTTATTGTATCCAGGCTGCTGAAATCAAGGACACTTCTCAAAAATGTAAACAGAAGCAAGATGCTTTGGAGATGAAAGATAAACAAGTAAGAGTCTTCATATTTATTACTCTTTCAGGTGTTTCTTTGCTGTTGTATTAACAGCTATAGCATATGCTGCATTCAGAGAGACTGCTACTTAAATTCTGCAGTAAAGCACAGATGTGGGTGCAGGTTGTCTGCCCTTCTTTTAGTGGAGAGGGAAGTTTCTGCCAGTGCTTGCACAGTTCACTCCCTGCAGTCTTTAAAAAAATGCCTATTAGTCACAGAATCACAGAATGGTGGGGGTTGGAAGGGATCTCTGAAGATCATCTAGTCCAACTACCCTGCTAGAGCAGGATCACCTAGAGAAGAGCACATCCAGGCAGGTCAAACAGATATGACTTAGGAACAGGTCTATGCTACTCAAAGTCAGTTACCTTAATGCAACAAACTTAGGACTAGACAGTGTGCATGTATATGTACACTATATATTACAGGCTTTCCTTGAAAAGCTCCAGCCTCTATAGCACAGTAATGCACTCAGCATTAAACATGCTCTAAAATATTCTATGTGAGAAGCTAGGGTTACTGTTTCTGTTAAATGTTTACGTCCAGCATTTTTTAAAAAGAAAACACAAAGGTATGTTGTTAGTTACAGAACTTAATCAAAGCACTTGGTCAAGGAATGTATGAATTAAACTTACATGAGTGGCAAAGTCAACGTTGCACACTGTGCTACAGATTTTAAGCAATCTTACATTAACTTTATGTTAACGAATATCTTAAGCTTTAAGCTTCTTTTTTAAAAATGAACTTCAGAAATTGATTTAAAGGCTTGATTGTATTTTTGCTTAAATGTTCCTAAATCTTAACAAAATCTTGTCAGTTTTTCAGCTGTCATAGAGATAATGAAACTATACCAGACTCCTATAGTTTTAGCGCATGGTTACATCAGCATTTAATAGCAGTTGCACGGATATCCTAGTTACTTGTTTTAGGTTTTGTATACTAAACTCCTTTAATGTTGGAAATAATCAAAATTCTTAGGTTGAAGAAATTCATCAAGCTTTGAGAATGAAAAAAGATGAAGAAATGGACAGACAGAGAAAAATACACGTTACTCACAGGATGATAAAGGACTGGAAGCATGAGCTCAGCACAATGGCAGCCTGTGAGGACCTTCAGCCACAAACTGATTCTGTTAATAATGAGCTGAAAAAAATACAAGAAGAAAGGGCAAATATTGATAGTGATATCAGTGATCTAGCAGCAGAGAAAATGAACCAAGAGAGGGAAAAAATAAGTAAGTTACTATGGTTTTGATTGTTGACTCTTTTTTTTTTTTTCTTTTTATGACTGTTCGTAGAGAATCTACTTCTTGTCCTGCTATGGTGAAATAACTTGAAGCATTTGTTTTGAGCCTCATAGTTGTAACTTACATGTATAGCAGTCATCTTGTCTGTTACCAGTTTTATTATAAGTAACAGACACTGGTTTCTAAGTAGAAAGAACAAGAAGATTCAGAAGTTGCAATTGACGTTAAAACTATCCTTAAAAAAAAAAAGTTTCCTCTGATCTCTGGGTAAGAATAATGCTTTGCCAGTTTTGTATTTTTTTCTGTTATTAAATAAAGGTGTGTACTATTAGCAGGATACCAAAAAAACTGCAAACGTAAAGCAAAAACTGTTTAACTTGAAGATGCAGTGTTTTAAATTATCTCTTTAGCAGCATATTTACTACTGATGCTGCCTTTGTCCTTTCTAGATAAACTTGAACTAACCTTAATTATAGTAAATTCCTTTATACTACCCTAGGCTAGTTCTTTCTAAGAAACAAGATTTTAAAATGATAGCTTGGTGGGTAGGGAGTGCTGTATATATTCACAGAATCACAGAATCACAGAA